TAGAGACATTTTTAAAAGGAGGATCCTTCCAAATTGTAAAATGATCAAAAGTTTTAAGGTGCCACCTGCTGGGTAGGCCATAGAAATTTATTTATTTATTTATTTATTTTATTTTTATTTATATGCCGCCCTTCTCTGGAGACTCAGGGCGGCTTACAAGGAGTTAAGCAATAGCCTTCATACTTTTGTATATTTTATACAAAGTCAGCTTATTGCCCCCACAAACCGGGTCCTCATTTTACCTACCTTAGAAAGGATGGAAGGCTGAGTCAACCTTGAGCCTGGTGAGAATTGAACTCGCAGTAATTGCAAATTAATAATTAATAAATTGTAATTAATTTGTAAACAAATTAATAATTAATAAATTGTAATAATCAAATTATTTGATTGATCAAATAAAATCTTATTTATTGCCATCTAGTACAAGTAGATTTCATAGATCAATATGATATAAACTCACCTTCTGTTTATAAGAGTTCCTGTTAAATCTGGGTTTAGAAAATGAACAAGTAAATTTGCCAAAGTGTGATCGCCCAGATATAAGCGACCACCTGGCTATCCTGCTCTCCCAGCCTTATTTAGCTATTTGCTCATATCATTGGTCACTCTAATGCAGGGGTGTCAAAACTGGCGGCCCGCAGGCCAGATGCATCACATGCAGGCCACACCCACCCCAGCTCCATGAATAGGGCAAATATCGCGAAACGTGATATGATGGTAATGTGACGCTGCACCTTTGACACCCATGATCTAATGAAATAGAAGCCACAGCAGTACATCTAGCTCCAATGCCACAGCTACATTCTTATCCCTGCTCCAAATATCCTCATACTCTGAAATGGGTTTCTTGTGAGGGAGGGAACAATACACATAGATACTGTTTTAAAGGAATACCCAGCAGCTCAGCCTTTGGGGACTGTACTTCTCTTAGTTTATCAAATAATGAATATGTGCTCAAATAGTACACCTTCAAATGCTTTTTCTCCATATCACTCTCTCCTTACTCTCCGGAAGGGTGGTGTTTGTCTCATTGATGTAATAAATCCCATACAATTATCAGGCACTTTGAAACTTTAAGGAGAACTCCATGCAGGTTCTTTAGATGTGTTTCTTTCATTTATTTCTAATCACTGTTTATTACTGAGAGCAGATGAAAACAATAGATAAACTATTTCTTCCTGTTTATTCATTTCCCAAAGTTTCTTCCCAGCAATTCTCTGTGTGTGTGTGTGTGTGTGTTTGTGTACACGAAAGATCGAGAGAGCACATGGGTATAAAGTTATTGCAGTTCCTTGCAGTTCTGGTAACTACTGCAGTCCCTATAGAATTTATTGGAACCAATATAGTTTACTAATCCAGAGTCATGTATATGAGATGAGTGGCCATACAGTACTGTATACTGTATACATACTGTATACATACATACATACTGTATAAATGTATTAATTAACTAAATAAATGAAGATCTCTGCCTCATTTATTCCATATTTTGGCTTATTAGAAGAATTACTATGCAAGCTATCATCATAATTCATTATTTCAAGTCTCCCTGTGACTTCTTTCGAAAGCTAAATGTATCCTCCTGGTTACTCAATTTCTATCCCACAAGATTTATGTTTACACATTAATTATTATGCAATACACAAATAGAGTGTTGCATTATCTATTGTAATTAGAAATAATGCACCTGAGGGCATTCCCTTCCTGTTCTGCCAGTAAACCTGAACATCATATTACATTTAGTCATACAACTCTTAAAACTAATTATCACCTATTAGCGGCTTCAGTGTCACATTATCTATTACCTTCATTAATACTCAGATCATTAAGAAACTTCTGATAAATGTATGTGTCTTCATTCTATATAACCTCAGCTATTAGCTTTTCATCTTTGGTACATGATTGTACCTTATGAAATTAATCACTGTTTACTCCAAAGATGGTGCCACTTTTACTAAGTTCATATAAAAAGGTAAAGGTAAAGGTTCTCCTTGCACATATGTGCTAGTCATTCCCGACTCTAGGGGGCGGTGCTCATCTCCGTTTCAAAGCCGAAGAGCCAGCGCTGTCTGAAGACGTCTCCGTGGCCATGTGGCCGGCATGACTAAACGCCAAAGGCGCAGGGAACACTGTTACCTTCCCACCAAAGGTGGTCCCTATTTTTCTACTTGCATTTTTTACGTGCTTTCAAAACTGCTAGGTTGGCAGAAGCTGGGACAAGTAATGGGAGCTCACCCCATTACGCGGCACTAGGGATTCAAACCACTGAACTACCAACCTTTCGATCGACAAGCTCAGCATCTTAGCCACTGAGCCACCGCGTCCCTTGTAAATTGATATCATTCATTGGCAACCTTTAGTCTCAAAAGACTATGGTATCATGCTCTGGAAAGAGGTCCTAAAACAGGATCTGGTGTGACTAAAAAGGCCAATTCGAGAGTGGCAATCCCTTCCACATTGAGAGCAGATACATTCTGTCCCCTGCCCAGCCCCAAGGTTTCGCTGGTTCCAGAACTGCTTCTTTGCCTCGGCCTGTTGAACAAGTGTCTCTTCGAATTGGAGAAGGCCATGCTGCATCTTTAGCCTCCAAGCTGAACGATCAGAGGTCAAGGTTTCCCAATCATTAATGTCCATTCCCAAGGCCTTTAGATCCCTCTTACAAATATCCTTATATCACAGCTATTGTCTTCCTCTAAGGTGCTTTCCCTGCACTAATTCTCCACACAGGAGATCTTTCAGGAGATATACGAAGTGCATAAAAGAGACCATATTCATCTTATATATCTTTAGTACATATGAATTTCAAACAAGTTAGTAAATATTTTTTGCTTAACAGAAATCCAGCATTAAATTTAAACAGCTACTGTCTCATATGGTTTTCAGAAAACATATATATATATATAGAATATATTTTGGAATGTAACGAGGTGCCACATTTTTGTGCTGTTTTTTGAAATATTGAGTGTAATGCAAACATTCTCCAAATATGAAATTTCAAGTACAATTAACATTGTACATTGTATCATAAGAATATTTTTGCCTGAAAGCAAAATTATCAAAGCATGTGACTTTACTTTTAAAATCGAGGAATAGTAATAAATCTGTGATCATTGTTATCATTAAAGAGTTTACTGATAAATCAGAAAAACTGTAGCTCATAACAGCTTTTTTAAAAAAATACTGTATATATTTTTTATCACAACCTTATGCATGTTTAAATGAAAGGAAATTCTACTGGATCTAAACAAAATCAATCCTGATGTGGTTAGGACTGGAGACTGGTTTGCATGGTGAATGTGATACATCTCAAATTATCACTTACTCCAATGGATATTAAAGGCTAAAGTGGGAACCGAATGGAGGACAAAATAGACTTCGGGCTATTCTAATATAGCTCTTCCCATGTTATATCCTTATACAGTACATCACAGAAGTGAGTACACCCTCTCACATTTTATAAATATTTAAGTATATCTTTTCATGTGACAACACTGAAGAAATGACACTTAGCTACAATGTAAAGTATACAGCTTGTATAACAGTGTAAATGTGCTGTCCTCTCAAAATAACGCAACACACAACCATTAATGTCTAAACTGCTGGCAACAGAAGTGAGAACACTCCTAAGTGATAATGTCCAAATGGGCCCAAAGCGTCAATATTTTGTGTGGTCACCATTATTTTCCAGCACTGCCTTAACCTTCTTGGGCATAGAGTTCACCAGAGCTTCACAGGTTGCCACTAAAGTCCTCTTCCACTCTTCCATGACAACGTCACGGAGCTGGTGGAAGTAAGAGAGCTTGCACACCTTCACCTTCCGTTTCAGGATGCCGCACAGATGCTCAATAGGGTTTAGGTCTGGAGACATGCTTAGCCAGTCCATCACCTTTACCCTCAGTTTCTTTAGCAAGGCAGTGGTCGTTTTGGAGGTGTGTTTGGGGTTGTTGTGGGATGACTACTCTTATACTGTCTGGTATAGCCAAATACAGATTAAAATGCTAAACAATTAGATATGCCACGATTTTAGTCTCATCAAGTGATTATAATATACACGATTATTTTCAGATATTGTCCCATAGCTTTCTTTCCTCAATCATATATTTATTAAAAGAATTAGAAACAATGTTTATAAAAGTTGGAAACTGTAGATCTGAATCTTCATTTCCGTCTCTGCCTACCCCAAGCCTTAGATACAGTTTTCCCCATCTTCCAAAAATTTTCACCAAATCATGATTTTAATAGGACAGCAGTAGAAATGATTAAATATATTGGAAGTAGTTATATTGATTGTGTAATGACAGTGCAGCATTTTTGTATTTGAAGTTCTTCAGAATACACAGGTAGTATGAATGTAGCCCGTCTGCAAGTTTTAAAGCAGATACAATTCCTCCAGAATCATATATCTACCCTTTGTAGTTGGCTGAGAAAGGAAGTGGCTGCTTTAAAGACATGCAAACAGATGTGCACCCCTGTGTAGTCTGAACCACTTTTTGGAATCAAATCTGGAATACTGCATAGTTCTAAAATGAACTTCCTTGTGCGCCCCCTTTCTTTGTCATGACTAATTTTAAGATTGCAACTACTAGAACAGAGATCTTCAAACTTGGCTTTAAGACTTGTGGACTTCAACTTCCAGAATTCTCCAGCCAGCAAAGCTGCTCTAAAGAACAACATTTAGAGCACCAGCTGTCTCTTAGCAAGAAAAATATTGAACCTGCCATAGAGATGAGATGGAGTTGCAAGAAACACAAGTAATAATGTATCTATACCAAGTCAAAACAAATTGTAATTTCCAATTATTGTGTAATCTTGTATATATGATATGAGTTTCACTATCTCTGAGCACAAAAGGACTTATGTTTTTAAAAAGCATAGTTTCAGTACATGCGATGTATTTTGTGCAGCCTGAATTACAACAAATTCACAATATTTAATGCCAATATTCATGTGCACACCACTTTAAACCTACTGAACCATTGTAAAAAAATAGAAAATCTTACCATTATCTTCAACTGAAAAATAGAAGATATCGCTCGTAGCATTTTCACGTTCTTTCAAGGCATAACAAATCTTCATTTCATCAATATCAGCTGATGGGAATGAGAAACGTTACACAAGTCAAAATCTTTTCAATACAGGTTAAACTTACCACTTTGATTTTGTTTGTTTATTTGTTTAGAATCAGCTTATATTTGTGTAGGTATCCTACACAATATGTGAACATCTGAAAAGGTTTAATATTTCTCCCTTTGTCATCTGGTATATCAAACCTGATGCCTTTCAGATGAATCTGAACTATTCAGGTGCTCAGACATCAATGTCCAGAAAGAGATTATGGAACTTTCTCTGCAAAGCATCTGGTTGGAGAAGACTGGTTTAAATGATTGTGAGTCACTTGTTTTCATTTAGAACCTATAACTAGGTGTACACATAGTACTGTTAAGAGTTTATAGAACAAACCATAGTTCATACATTATGTTAAGCCATAAAACATTTACAAATCTCAATATAAAGAACAAAAAAGTCATATTAAATCTTCATGTGCGAATCCAAGCTATTAATTACTATATGCTCAGAGTACCTGGAATGAAATATAAAACTGATAGATTGTGCTGGCTGTAATAACTGAATAATACTATAATAATCAATAGAATGACACCACAGTAAAATTGCTTTCTCATTCCACTGGATAATACATATTACATTTTATATATTTGCTAATATATAACAAGTTTTTAGAATATTGACAATTTGTAAAAGTTAAATATTTTACACTGCCAAATATCTGAGAATGCTCATATAATAAATCATATAAATCTATGGCAATTTTAAAATATATTTGTGTCCATAGTGTAAATTCACTTGATCTACAATGGACTGAGCTCTTTACTGCTGGATTTAAGCCATTATGGGACAGGAAATGCTTTGGCTTTCATGATTATGAATCCAGCTAATTTTGAACCTGGCAACAAACCAAGTTAAATAAATAATGGATTGGATAGGTGTAATGACCCTATTAAAGAGTAACTTGCTTGTAGACGTTGATCTGTGAATATGATTTTAAAACAACATTCAAACTGATTTCATTGTTTTAGAAACATTGATCTTCTAAAAAAATGAATAAATAAACTAGTGAGTACATAGTACTAACCTTGGGAAAAGGATTTGACAGTTGCATTTCCTAGGCCAATATTAATGAGAAATCCATGTTTTGGCCCATCTGTGATCTTATATTTCAATAATTTGTGTGGACTATCTCTGTCTTCTGCTTTCAGAGACTTGCTGGTTATTAGGAAGCCCAGGTGTCCAGTTGCTATATTTCTCAGTGTGGAGACACCCTTGTTCACTACTATTTGTGGTATTCCATTGTCTAAAGCATTGATCTGAATTTTCATCATCTGTGGGTTACGTGTTTCAAGAATGGTATCAGGAAAAACATAAAAATCTGGATGTGTCCCATCCGTTACAGTGAAAGAGAAGCTATCATGATTAGTTTCAGTGCCATCATGTTTGTAGCTGATCATATTTTCATTTAAGTCTTGTTTAGTGAAACTGGTGACAGAATAGCTGTTGTTATAAATAATTTGACCATGTACAGGGACTTGAGTAATTATGAAATGGAGTAGATGGTCAGGTGTATCCCGATCATCCACATTTAGCTCAAATGGTGTGATCAGTTTGGTTTCCCCTTCTTGAACTGTGAGGTCATGTAATGTGAGAACTGGCTTCTTATTGTCCACGTCAGTAATAGAAACTCTAAAAGTACGGAAGACTGGATTATAGCCATCAGTCACTTCAAACTCAAAGCTATCCATCTTCACCTCATCATCTGCAGTGTGGATGTAATAAATCTTGTTTCCAGCTAGTTGAAGCTGAGTGAAGATAGTGACAAGAACTCCAGGGTTGTCAGAATTCTCTAAATGACCTCTGCTTGGTGCCCGGGTGATGCTGAACCTAAGTAGCTCATCAGGACTGTTGATATCACTTGTACTGAGGAGATCTGTAGTGAGAGTCACTTTCCCACCTTCTTTCAGAGTGACTCCTTTATTGATCACCTCTGGAAACACCATATCAATGCCATTAATGGTAATGTAAAAATATCTATCTATCAAGGGATTGATGCCATCAGTGACATCAAACTTAATTAAGTCACGGAGTCCCTGTTGGCCTGTATGTGTATAACATATATATTTATGATCTATGTCATCCTGTGTGAAATTCATGCCGAGTGTAATATTGTATAGCATCTCTTTTTCTTTACTTATATGCTGTAATAAGCCATGCCTGGGGGATAAACGAATAATGTATGTAAGCATCCTGTCTTCAGAGTCTATGTCAGTGGCTTTGAGATCTTGATTGGTGATAACTTTAGATTCACCAACATCTACTTCTAATCCATCATTGATGGACATCCGGGGTGTTTCATCATCAACCAGAATGACCATTATTAATACTTCTTCCTCCACTGTGTGTAGGCCATCAGTGAGCTGGATTTTGAAAGAGTCCTCTTTAGTTTCTGAGTCATCATGCTCATACACAATGCTAGATGCCTCCCGAATTTCTTCCAGGGTGAAATTGGTAACAGACACAGTACCTGTAGCCAGCTGGTTAACAATCTGTCCATTCTTTGGAGGAACAGTTATAAAGAAGCGCAATTCATCTGGGGGAATATCAGCATCAGCACCATTAAGAATGGGTGTGTCAATTACCAAACTCATTCCTTCCAACACCACAAACTCACGTACAAACAATTCGGGCTTCTCATCATTGGTTGGGATAATGATAATTGGAAAGAACTGAGGTGGTGAAAAGTTGATACCATCAGAGCACTGGAAAGACAATCTGTCTTCTAAAGGTTCTATCCCCTTATGGATGCTCTGAACATAGTTGACATGACCAACACGAATATCTTTGATGGAAAATGCACTGATGGGAATCCCAGTTCTGGATTTTTCAGATCCTGGTGCTGGAGAGATATTCTCTAGGTAACCAGCAGTTGACTGTGTTAGAATGGTACAGAGAATATCATCTCTAGGAGTATCAATATCTTCCACATCCAGCAGTTCTAGCCTTAGCACATTCTTTCCTCCTTCTTGAACAGTGAATGGTTCTTCTCCCAACATAACTTCAGGAGCAATGTTGTCCACTGGCAAAAGAGTTACAGTCACACGCACTCCTTCTATTGTGCTTCCTCTCACCACCCACTCACTGGCCCGATCTGAAATAGTAAGATTGAAAGAATCAGTCTGCTTCTTCAATCCAATCTCTCCACTATTGTGAGCATAAACAACTGTTCCGCTTATGAGATCCTCTTGAGTGAATCTTTTTGAGGGTACTCCATCCACTAAAATACTACCCAGTTTAGGGGGGTCCTCTACAATAAAAGTTAATGCCAGTTCATCAGTATCCTCATCTGTTCCCTGGATAAGAGAAGTGGTTATTTCAGTAACACTATTTTCCAGAACATCAATAAAGGCCCCCAAAAGTCCATTACTACTAGGGACCATGATGCTGGGACGTTCATCATCAACTGGTTGAACAGCAATTTTAACTGTGATTGGTACTTGATGAACTTCATCACTTACTTCTAACTGAAAGGAATCACTTCTGTACTCATCACCATTATGTTGATAGGATATGCGACCATTAGTAATGTCATCTAACAGAAAAGATTCACCCTGTACCATCAATCCTTCCTCTAGGTAGCGCAGGTGGCCATGCTGAGGTGTTTTAGTTAAAGTGAAGACAATTCGGTCAGTGTCTGTATCTTTATCAGTAGCATCTAGCTGCGTGGTGGTGAGAAAGAAGCTGTGCCCCTCAAACACTGTGAAACCAGCATTGGTTATTTGTGGGGGCTGATTATTCACTGGCTGCAAGAAGAAAGTGAAAATGCCTAGCACAGAATTACCAGCTGCATCTTCTACACTGTAAGTGAATTGTACTACTCTTGGAGTAATGCCAAGTTCTTGGTCTGGTGGTCTATAGGCCACTTTATGATGATTTATCTGTGCTTGAGTGAAATGGGTAATAGGCACCAGAGGACTGTCAGTCAATACAATTTCACCTGCCAAGATAGGGTGATTTTCGTCAATATCAGTTGGTGATGTAAGCACTGTATATTTCAGCTCTCTGTCATCTGTGTCCAAATCAGTATAACACAGGTAATGCTTCTTGAAATGTGTCACTTGGTATTCGAGGACAGTCATTTGTAAAGTTGTCCCTGGGTATAGTTCTGGAGATAGGTTATCTACTGGCTGTATCTTGATGATAAACACCTTTTCTTCAGATTGATTTGGAGGGTCATTATCATCTTGGAGATAAAATACAAACTGGTCCATCACTACATTGGTGCTATGAGGTCCAATATGCCTGTAGAACAACTTTCCATCCAGGATATCCTCTTGCAGCCATTCAGTCACTACCTTCTCATATATACCCTCACTCACTATAAAGTGCCAGGAGGATGGATCACTATGATCTTCTTCCATATCTTCCTCTTTTTCACTGGATGATGGAACCTCTCCCTGACGCAACAGAAACTCACCAAAATGTTTCCAGACAGGTACACCTGAAGACTTTTTAACCTCCTTAAGCAGAAATCGAATAGTGGAGTCATCAGAGTCTATATCAGTAGCACTGAGAACAAAGGGTGAGATCTGCACTACCTGGTGCTCACTTAGGACCAAGCCAGTGTTGGCATTAAGGAGTGGTGGTTGATCATCATCAGGGGCAATTGTAATTGGATAAAAAAACTCCACCTGGTGTTGTCCATCCTCCATGCGAAAGATAATGTTATCACTGAAACTGTGCTCACTGCCATCATGCTGGTAGATCACCTGTCCAGCTTCCAACTCTGCTGCAGTAAAAAAATGACGACCAGGAGATGCATTCAAAACTCTCAATTCACCATGTTTTAGACCTCTTGTAACCCAAATCTTCACTTCCCCTAAGTTGTCCTCATCACTGATTACAAGATTGTCAGAAAGCGGCCTTGACTGGCCTTCAAAAAGCATCATCTGAGGGCCGGCAATGCGATTAAAGACAGCCACCGGAGCCAAAGTGTTCATAGGTTTCACCACCACCATGAAGGCAAAGGGGTCTGAAGAGGCACCCTCAGGGTCCAACACCTCCAACTCAAACTGGAAGAGACGCTCATGGTCTGAGTCCACTGTAGGAGGCTGGTAGGCAATCTTCAGCTCCCTCAACTCCCGCTGAGTGAAAGAAGTGAGTGGGCGACTAGGATCATCCGTACTTATCAAGTAACCAGTGGTCACATCTTGCCCTCCAACACTGAGCCAGGGAGAGGTGAGATTAAATAGCAGCAGATCTGACGGGGTCTCCAAGTCCTCCGCTGCCAACATGTCAGGGGTGATGGCGGTAAGCACAAACTGGTCCACCTCCATCATGAGCAAAGCCACAAAGCTGGGCTTGGGGGGAGTGTTCTCAACCCCATCCCGGATCAGAACCACCACCTGAAAGTATTCCTGCTGGCTTTGGCTCTCGGGAGATCCGCTGTCCTCTAGTACTTCCACCCGCATGGGGATGTGGTCGCGGTTGGGGGAGGGCGTGGGAGCCGTGTGCTGGTAGCGGATGCCTTCGCTGAGGAAGCGGCGGCAGTCGTTGCTGTAGCCCGGCGGCAGGGGGCGCCCGTGGGCGTCGATCAAACGCCCGTAGGAAGGCAGGTGGTTGCCGCTGCTGGACGGGTGAGGGAGGGCGGTGAGGCGGCAGTGGCGACGCCCGGCTTCTCCCTCCTCGGCGAAGGCCAGGACTTTGGCGTCCAGGGGCTGGCTGAGGCCCCGCAGCTTCTCCACGGCGAGCGGCAGGTTGCGGCTGAGGAGGCGCAGCTGCTGCGACAGCACCTCGGCCTCCAGCGCGAAAGGCACCACGAACGTGCGGCTGGGCGAGTCGTAGCGGAGCTGGAGGCTGAGGCGGTCGCGGCCGGGGCTGCGAGACCCGTAGTGGGTGTAAGTCACCTCTCCGGGACCGAAATCGCAGGGGAAGCGTTGCGGCGAGAGCGCCCCCGGGCGGTGAGGCGCAGGCGGCGGCCCGCTCTCCAAGACGGTCACGATGCACTTGTCGCCCGGCTGCACGCGGATCACCAGGTCCCGGGCGGGGTCCAGAGAGACGGAGCGGCCGAAAGGCACGCGCAGCCCGCGGTTGGCCACCAAGATCCCCGCGGCGCCCCCGTCCGGTTCCGCCGGCTGAAGGAGAAGCGGCTGCCCGGCTGAGTCCGGCTGGGTGGTCCCGAGCGCAGCCAGAATAGAGAGCAGGAGCAGCGCCGCCCCGAACGGCGCCCGACGGCGGCGAAGGTGCCCGGGCGGTTCGGCCATGCCGCCTCTAGTGCTGCCTCTCTCTCTTTCTCGGGCGGTGAGCGCGAGTTCCGACGGACTTTGGGACCCGGGGACGGCAGGGCGGACGACAAGGTGCAGGAGCCGGGCTTCTGTGCTGCTCCGGAGCGGGGCTCTCTGGGACTCGGCCACTGCCTGCTGCAGGTACTCAAGGGGAGGAGAAGGGGGGTGGGAGCTGGCAGCCCCTCGCGCCGCCCAGGAACTGCCTCCCCCTTCCCGGCCCACCCAGGAACCGAGGCTTAGTTTCTCCGCCGCCCGAAACGGCGGGGAAGCGTCCATTCGCTGAGCGAGCAGCCCCCGAAAGACGGCGGCGGGGGGGGGGGAGAGACGACCTTCCGCCGACCTCGCTTGCAAGGAAAGCAGAGTTTTTCACTCCGAAGCTTAGGATCTCATCGGCAGCGAAGGCGACGGTTCCATTTCCAGCGATCTTTGCCTCCGGGGCACCGATTTTTTATTAAGGCGCCTTCGAAAGAGCAGGGCTAGTGCCACTGGGTTTCTGTCGCTTGCAGATCGCTGCCTTTCCTCCCGCAGGTGAGAGAGAGGAACGATGAGCCGGTCCAGCAAAGGCGGTAAAAGTGTTATCTTGCCCTTCTCCCGAGACGCTTTGCTGTTGCTGCAACACAGCTCTCTCATCCCTAAATTATTAGGGATGTGTTCAGCTTAAGTTGGGTTCTGATTCAGGCAGAGTGTGTTGTGTGGCATCCGGGAAGACAACCGATGCGTTTGGTGGACCCAACTTTTTCTTCCCTTATATCAGACAGGAATTCTTAAACCAGAATTCCTGGTAATTATTGTGCAGTTATAGATTGGGGAATATGTGTTAGGCTGCCAGGATAATCAATCAGTTTCTTTCCTAGACCCGATTTAGCAATCAGACTCTCTGAGTGATTGTCAAATCCACTCATTCTCATCAACGTTAAGGGAGGGGGGGGGAGGGAATACCAAAACAACATATTTGCCAAATTCATAAGAGTCTGCCAATTCTGATAAAAACAAAAACATCCTTGCTTTAGTCAGACCACTTTATTTGCTTCACAATCCAGAGGACTTTAACGCATTGTAAGCTGCCCTGAGTCTCCGGAGAAGGGCGGCATATAAATTAAAGCAAAAAAAAAAAAGTGCACCTGGCAGCCTGGCATATGTTATGCTTTAATGTTGGGAACTGACAGATTCCTCTTTTGAGAGGAATCACATATGCCAGGCTGCCAGGTGCACTTTACTGACCCAAGCTTGTATACAGGTCCTCTGGATTGTGAAGCAAATAAAGTGGTCTGACTAAAGCAAGGGTGGGAAGTACAGCTTTAGAGAGGAAGTTCAGGACTCCTGCAAACTTTAGATTTTGCTAATTATACATTTTGCACTGGTGCAGAATCTGTAAGTCAGATATTTATATCTTGCATGGTCTGTGAACTGCTAGTATGTAAATTATCTAACTTTACAATCATGTGCAGACTGAGTTGGGAATAAGCCCTCTTAGACTCTATACAAAGAAATTTAGGTGCCCTGTACTATTGCATTTGTCAGAACATCTGTTTAAAGTCTCAAAATATTTTTACAAACCGGAAGACTATATGGGAATAAAAGTACATTCCTCAGGCCATAGAGTTAATTTATAAATTCATGAACTAACATAAACCTCTTACAATTCATTTAGTGCACAACAATAATAAAAATCAGAAAACTAAAGAAAATATGCAAAGCAACACATGATCCACCCAGTACTGACGTTTAACAATAATACCAGCGACAACAACATACATATTCATCACAAAACAGGCTCATCTACCATCCAAAGTCCAACCAACCTTGAAATTTGCATCCATGGTACTTCCAGCTTCCCTGAATTTTTATATTTTGTGCCCTCACTATCCCTTTTTACCACTTCTAGCAGTTGCTTCCCATCTTCCATTATAATGCTTTTCAAATTCTGAGAGAAATTAAGAGCTTCAGATGTTAAGCTTGAACATTGCTCTTAAGAGATTTTAAAAACTTGAATGGGCAATCCTTGCCTATTTAATTTATACTTTTGCAAAGATTTCTAGACACTTTTAGGACATGTCTGTGTTGTCTGCTAAGCTCTTTGCATCTAGTAATACCAAATAAAAGATGAGAAATTGCAAACTTAATGTCTCAGTTTAATAAAGCAACAACTGAAAGGTTAGAAATGAAATTTCTGAATGGGGGTCCAGAGTTTTTATATGCTTTGTGTAATAAGATAGTGCTGCAATATATGCCCTGCAGTTGCTGTATAAGGTTCCCCTGTGTCTCATAATTTTGAACTGTATATACTACTCAGATAATCCAATATAACAACCCTGTACCTCCAAAGGGTCACTGCATACTATGTCATTCATAGAAGTCAAAGGCATAATGCATGTGCCCCACAATTTTGCCTCCTGAAAAGCACAAATGCTCAAAAAATACTCATTTTTCATGGCATGATATTTGCTGCTTTATTAAAATGGGTGCATTAAGTCTTTGCCAAGGGAATGCACCTGATTTGCACTGAGCCTCTCCTAAAGCCCCTAAAGTGGGCTAAAAAGGCCATCCTTGCCCATTAAAGATCTCATAAGAATTACAAAAATCTTATCAGATTTTGCACCTAAATGACATGTGATGAAACCTAATCAACTGGGATGAGGGAAACGTAACCAACTAGGATGCTGGTGAGCTGTATAAGATAAATTACTGAACACATTTGTATTTATTTCTATGCCCTTTCCATTTCTCATTTGTATGACTTTGCATGAAATAATTCAGCAGTAGAGAAATTAAAATTCTCACCTAGTGCTCATGTATGTTAGTTTTATTTACTGATTATCCCATGAAATCCCTGTTACAACTGTCATATTGCTAATTTTTTTTCTGAAGACAATTTTCAAAACATTTAAATACTTAACAATAATTGTTTTTCTTGTTGCTTGTCCTGGCAATCTCTTGAAGGGTTATTAACTTAAAATACAACAAAAGAATGGCTTACTTATTATATAAATACTTATTTATAGGGATTGCCAATCAGCATGAATTAACTTCAGCATTCTAAAGCACGTTTCTTATTAAATCACCACTATTATTTGAACAAGGTACTGAAAGATGTATATTTGAAAATTGTCTTTGATCTGAAATTTTGGAGAATTACTGTAGTTTTAGCAATGCATTGTATGTTGGATTTTGATTGTATTTTTAAAAGTATGCTTGAAAAAGTAGCAAGATTATGATTATAGTTTTCTCCGACAAGCCAAGTTTTCTAACAACAGTAAAAACATTGTGGGTTATATTTTTAGCCAAGCATGAATAATATATGTAATATATATATATGTATGAATGAGTTTATTCCCCTCCATTTCCAGCTAATGTGAAATTGATTTCTATTACCTTAGTAAATATTACTTTGACTATGAAAACCGTGTTGTACACAAATTAACCTTTAGGTGGTGAGTAAGTTGAGTAGTCTATTGCAGTGTCCCTTTGATGTATCTAAGAGTTGATATTTCAGAGTAGATTACCATGGTAATTACAAACGGCGGGCCGTGTGAACAGAAAGGTCTTTCACAAAACTTGATTTATGGTAATGCACCATCCCGTCACACTATGATCCTTTATTCACAGTCTCATCAAAAACAGGCATCAAGATGACAGATTGAAATGACTATAAATGTATTGAGATATTTACTGTATAAATAGATATTTGAAGTCTTTATTTAACTTGGACAAATTGCAGGAAGATTTTTATGAGACTGAAGCTAATTTAATCTTAAGGAAATTCAGGTTATATAATGAAATTGGTTTTTTTCATGTAATTTGTAATCATATCCTTTCCTTTGAATAGATAATAAATGCATGCAATTACAGGTAGTCATTGACTTACCAGCATAATTGAGCCCAATAGTTCTGTTGATAAGTGAGACATCTGTTAAGTGAGTTTTATGATCTTTCTTGCCACATTTCTTATGTAAATCACTACATTTGTTAAGTTAGCAACATGGTTTTTTTTGAAAAAAGTTTTTTATTTTATTTCTTCTAAACTTATTGTAAATGTACATTATCTTATTCATAATTACTCACACATATACATATATTTTCTAAAGAATAAAAGATTTTTAAAATTATATTCGGGGTTGCTCTTCTACCCGTTGTTCTCACTTATTTTACAATCCTTCTTCTTCTCTCTTTACCTTCCCTGCCTTCTTCTATCCTTTTCTACTTTTTTCTTTGCTCCTCTCCTTCCTCTTCTCTCCTTCCCCTTCTTTCCCCTCCTTCTCCCTTCTTCCCTCCCTTTCTAACCTTCTCTCCTACTCTTTTTCCCCTCCCTTTCTTTCTCTCCTTTTCCCTTTCTTCTGTTCCTCTCTCTCCTTCCCTCCTCCTATCTTACCCTCTACTCCTCTCTCCAGTCTTTCTCCTTTGTTGTCCAATATTTCCCCTATTGATATCCGAGCAGCCCCGATTTTCTATTAATATATGCTTTCTTTTCCATTTCTTTTCTATTTTACCAATTATACATATATCATCATGCTTGTACATTTATATAGTAACATTTTTTCCTTTTCCCCCCTCTCCCCTTTTCCATTTACACAAGTGTCGTCTGGGTTTCTATTTCTTTTTGTCCTGTCTCTCAAGTTAGCAACATGGTTGTTAAGTGAATCTGGCTTCTCAATTGACTTTGCTTGCCAGAATGTTGCAAAAGGTGATCACATATGACCCTAGGACATTGCAACCATCATAAATATGAGTTAGTTGCCAAGCATGATCACATGACCATGGGGATGTTGCAATGATCTTAACTGTGAAAAATGGTCATGTCACTTTTTTTCCATGCTGGTATAACTTGAATGGTCACTAAATGAATGTTGTAAGCCAAGGGCTACCTGTAATTGAAATATAATGCTTTTTGAAACATTCAGCACTAAAGCAGCGATCATAAATACAAAATAAAATTGTACAAAAAAAAGATTGATTCTTGGTTTTCCTTCAACAATGGGAGTGTTTCTTCCACCAATGGAATTCAGTTAGAGATACAGTACTGCCAGAAGTAGGAAAGATGTCATTTGATTACTTGGCATCTGACTGACTGAATTATTTCTGCAATTCTGACTGTCAACTCCAGTGGTGTTCTGCAGGTCTAACAGTTCCCCAGAGGAATGGGGCAAGAATAC